TCTTAAAAGGGAGATTTGAGTCTTACTAAGAAATTTGGTCTGTATCCTAGGAGCAAAATAGGAAGTGACATGAGCTGAAATGTAGAACTCTACTGTAGAAAGAACATTCTGGCTGCAGTATTAGAGAACAGACGGGGGGGAGGAGATGACAAGATGTACAGAGACTAGCTAGGATCTTGAGTACCTATAAGCAAAATGATGGGAGCTTGGCCTGGAGGAAGAGGCATGAACAGAATCAAGATATGTTAAAGAGAAACTTAACAGAATCTGTATAATGCATTGAGCATGGGGAATGAAAGGGAAGGAGGTGTTGAGAATATTCCTAGGTTTCTAGTGTGTACACATGGAAGGATGGATATTCAATTCATGGAGGTAGGGAATGCAGCAAGAGACAGGCTTTGGCAGTGGGCTGAAGAAGATAATGAGATAGGTTTAAGATGGCCTGAGTTGGGACCCCTGGGTGGCTCAGCGGTTTGGCGCCTGCCTTTGGCCCAGGGCCCATTCCTAAAGTCCCAGATCGAGTCCCGAGTTGGGCTCCCGCATGGAGTCTGCTTATGCTTCTGCCTGTGTCTCTGCCTCTCTCTCTCTCTGTGTCTATCATAAAAAAAAAAAAAAGAAAAAGACGGCCTGAGTTAGAGGGGCACCTGAATGGCTCAGTTGGTTAAGAGTTTGCTTTCAACTCAGGTTATGATGCCAGAGTCCTGGAATCAAGTGCAAGTCTGGCAATTGTGGGGAGTCTGTTTCTCCCTCTACTATTACCCCACACTCATATGCATGCTAATAAAATCTTAAAAAAAAAAAAAAAAGGCTGAGTTGAAGACCTTTGCACTGTCCAGTAGGCAATCAGATACTTGCATGTGGAGGTGAGAAAACAGGGCAGGGCTAGAAATATAAACTTTAAGAATTGGGGTGCCTAGGTGGCTCAGTGGGTTAAATGTATGACTTCTGCTGAAGTCATAATCTCTCATGATCTCAGGGTCCTGGGATCATACCCTGCATTGAGGTCTTGCCCTGCATTGGGCTTTACTCTAAGTGAGGAATCTGCTTGTCCCTCTCGCTCTCCTTCTGCCCCTCTCCCCAGTGGAGCACGTGCTCGCTCTCTCTCTCTCTCTCAAATAAATAAATAAATAAATAAATAAATAAATAAATAAATCTTTATTTTTTTATTTATTTTTAAAGATTTTACTTATTCATGAGAGACACAGAGAGAGAGAGCGGGAGAAAGAGGCGCAGAGACAGGCAGAGGGAGAAGCAGCAGACTCCATGCAGGGAGCCCAATAAGGGACTCGATCCTGGGACTCCAGGATCCCGCCCTGGGCTGAAGGCAGGCGCTAAACTGCTGAGCCACCCAGGGATCCCAGATAAATAAAATCTTTAAAAAGGAATTATTGGCATATAGTCATTGAACTGTCAATGTGAATAAGATAGAGAATTCGAATGAGAGAGAGAGCAGAACAGAATAGTCAGCAAAAGGTCTGCTATAGGTCTTAAAAGACCTGTCACATTTCAGGGCCAGATTATGGAAGATGAGCTTCCAAGGGAGACAGAAAAGCCAGATAGACAAGGAAGGAAATCTGAAGTGTGGCATCACAAATGAGGTTTCAAGAGTTTGTGGACAACAAATATTGAGCTCCTACTATGTATAAGGCTTTGTACAATTGATATTGATACTCCAAATATATGTGTCTGAGGCTTTAAGTTTTATCAGAACCACCTTTAAAGCTAAGCCTTAATTCAAAGTTTTTTCTCGGTCAGAACAGCATTCATTTCTCTTTCCATTCCCAAATCCACTTGAACATTCAAGGTCACCATTTTTAGAAGTTCTGTATTTTTTAAAAAAAATAAATCTCTCCTGAGCTATAAAACAAAAATTCAGACTGCTCCTCTACTATATGTCTAGAAAATAGCCCAGTTAGCATGAAAATATCTCACCTGAATACTTAGATTAACTATAGATATTGGCAATAATAGGTCATTCCCACCCTTAGTATCATATCTAGATAACAATGAAAGCCAGAAATACTCAATAATGATCCTGACTGATGATATGCTCAAGAGCAGAAATTGTCACTTGCCATATCTCCATGCACATACTAGCACTTTATAAATATTTAATCTTGCTTAAATGAGCCAATCTTGCTAATTTTAAATAGTAATCCAAGTAAACTGTTCACAAGATAATTGAAAGCATCAAGTTAAATAAAATGTGTAAAAGAACTTTCTTTGGTACTTTATAACTATAGGCACTTAAAAAATGTCTCAGGATTAGCACTCTGCTGAGCTAGGTGTTTAATAAAGCTTTAATCAACTGAAGAAAGATGTACAGTATTTTAAAATGGAGAAAGAAACTAAAATTTATTACGGACCTTTTCTGTGCTAAACATTTTATATTTGTTAATATGATCTTTCCAATAATCCCACTAATTATTACCTTTTACTTGCATGTGAGGAAACTGATAACTTGCTGCAAGGCTCACAGTTGGTAATTTCAGAGATGTGTTACAAATCCAAATTCGTATGACTCCAAGGTTCATGCTCATTTGTGCACAGCAGTGCCTCTCAAACTTTTTCATCAAGTAATGCCAAATAGCAATGGAAAAAAAGACATATGACATATTCCTAGGAGGCTTTGGGAGACTACTGAGGTATCCAGTTGTTTTTTTTTTTTTAAGATTTTATTTATTTATTCATGAGAGACACACACACAGAGAGGCAGAGACAGGCAGAGACACAGAGGGAGAGAAGCAGGCCCCATGCAGGGAGCCGGAAGTGGGACTCGATCCCGGGTCTCCAGGATCACGCCCTGGGCTGAAGCACTAAACCGCTGGGCCACCCAGGCTGCCCAGGTATCCAGTTTAAACTGGATCTTCCAAGTTTTATGTTTATTCAAAAATTTGTTTTTATGTTTACATTTTATTTTACTTTAAAATACTATGTTTACTATTTTACTTTATTTTAATTCAAATAAATTAAAATTTATTTAATATAAAATATTTTAAAGGGCTTACCAGTTAAAATTCAATTCTTTTCTCTCTTAAAAAAAAATTGAGAGAATCTGACACCACAGGAGTATTTTCCATAAAAATCCCATAGCTTTGTTTAGTTCCCGGTACCTGGCCTCATAAACCTGAGTCCTAGTTTGAAAGCCTTACTAGAGCAAAATGCATTAAAGAAGAATGCATGAAGAATGATGTGAAGAATGAAGAATGTTCATTGATGTGAAGAATGATGTGAAACAATAATTATGAAGAATGATGTGAAAACAATAATTATTGGCAACTCAAGGCTCAGAAAAAGATATTAATAACACATTAATATTAATATTAATAACACATAACTGTATGACTACAGATAGAGTCGACTACTTTAACTCGCCACTGCCAGTGAAACAAAGTTCTAAACATGACTGATTCCACTCAGTTTGCGCAAACTTAACTGAAGCACTATCCTTAAATAGGTTAACACCATCCCTTCACCCAAGACCCTGGTAGCTTTACATGCGTGAATTCTGCTCGCGAACATTTACGTAATGTCCACGGTGTGCGCAGATGGGACTCATACCAGTAGTCAAGCACGGCACCAAGTGACAATCCACATTTTGACCAGTTCTACCAGATTTTCCCTGTCTTCCCAAATGGGGGACAAACACTTCTCGAATTCTACCCACAAAGCCCCCACCCTAAAGGGGCTCACAATTTGGAGGTAGGTCAGGGTAGAAGAAAGGGTACTAGTTTTTTTATTTTGGCTTGAAGAAAACTATGCTCTAAGCTTCTGTGTCCTTGTTTTCCTCATGGTTACGGTTGTGAGCATTTGAAATGTGTGGGATTTGCTAAAGTGCTCAACATATGTTTCCTTCCTTAGATCTTACGTACTTAAAGGACTCTGATTTGCAATCCTTAGGGAGTTCCTTTAAGCTGGGGAAAAATTTCTTAAAAAAACAATCTTACATATGTAGTGAACGAGTTACTTCCCTAAAGAAATCACATTCACTTACGCAAAGAGAGACTTCGTAAACCACCTTCCAAACCGCCTCAATTCCCTCAAAGTTCTCCATTTTAGAAGGGGATCCCTTCTCAACTCTGTACCAGAGCAGGAGCTCCTGCGTAGCCCAATTACTCCCTCTCAGGAAAGAGGAGCCCATGCCCACCCCGCTACTGAGACATTACTTGCTTACTTCTCCAGCTACTTCTTAAGCTAGGCAGGCCGTGAACCAACGGTCTCAGAAACCGCCATGCTTCAGACCAGACTCGCGGGGAAGGCGTCAGTGGGTGCGGGGATTGGACGCCTAGGGCTCCTCGTGGCGTGGCGGTGGGGGGCTGGCCCACAATCCTTCGCGCGGGCGAGGGCGAGGGCGGGAACCGCGAAGGGGGAAGGCAAGGGGGAGACCCGACGTGAGAAGACATGAAACTGGAACCGTGTAATGGAGACGCCGATTAATCCTTATATGGCCATTTCACATCCCAAACCGGGAACTGGCTAGTGTGTGCGTTATCCCCATTCGGGGATATCATTCCTATTAATAACCTTGAGGTTCCACCCAACGGCCCAGGGCTGAGTGCTGGAAATGAGGTGTGTAGGGCCTGGTTCTCCATCTTGCGGTCTCCATCCATCTTTTTACTGTCACGATGTATGTTTGATGGGGAAACTGTAAATGGGATTTGTTTTTGTTTAATTTTTATTTATTTATGATAGTCACACAGAATGAGAGAGAGAGAGAGGCAGAGACACAGGCAGAGGGAGAAGCAGGCTCCATGCACCGGGAGCCCGATGTGGGATTCGATCCTGGGTCTCCAGGATCGCGCCCTGGGCCAAAGGCAGGCGCCAAACCGCTGCACCACCCAGGGATCCCCTGTAAATGGGATTTGTAAGAATCACGACAGAAACGGTGCGCCTACGAGAAAATACAGCACTCTTCTCAGAGGGGACAAGCCAGAGGCCGCAAGCAGTCAGGCCCAAGACCCCGCCCTTTCCGCCTTACGTCTGACGTCACGTGGCGCGCGCGGGTGTGCGGAGTGGAGGATGCAGTTTAGCAACCGTGGGTGCGCGCGGATTGCGCGCGTAGGCGTCGGGTTTTGAAATGCAGCGGGATTTAGTGAGTTTCCCGCTGTCCCCAGCGGTGCGGGTGAAGCTGGTGTCCGCAGGTTTCCAAACTGCTGAGGAACTCCTAGAGGTGAAACCATGTGAACTCAGCAAAGGTAACGACTTCCGTCGGCAGTCTCAGGCACACGGTCCCTGACACGGTCGTGTCGCCTCCATCGCGGTTCTTCCGCCTTCAGGCTTCCGCCCAGTCTCCGCCAGATTCCTCCTCCTAAGGCTGCGTTTGCAAAGTGAAACCTCGCCTTGACTCCAATTAAACATGGTGTAAATGGGTTAGAGATATGGTCTTGAAAACATTTACTAATTGTTTTCTCTACCTGTGCCTGCCGAATCCTGAGGATTATCTAATTGATTACTCAAAGGACCCTGTTAACGTGGATTATTATGTCCAATATACTGGTGAAGGAACAGATGCTTGGGGAGGTTAAGTAACTTTTCATGATGCCTAGGATAGGAAATTGTCGGGCCAGAATTGGTCCCCCCAGCTTGTCTAGTTTCAGCTGTTCCAAAGTCCAAGGGGCAAGGGATTATATTTAAGAAATGAAAGATTTGCGATAGGACTGGAGACACTAAGCGAGAAAGGGAGCAGAATCCCCAGCAGCTGGAGAAAGCAATGGAAAAAAGACATTGCTTCTCTTTTGTAATTCACTAGAAAAACAAAACCAGAAACCCCAAACCTCTCATTCCAGAACACTGTAGATTATACATTGGTGGGAACCAATGAGATAACAAAAATGAGATAAACAAAAATGACGCTGTATTGCCCTCATTCTCACTGTACATGTTACACTAAGGTGTGCTCAGAACTGCTCTTAAGATAGAACAAAATTTTAAGCCCTTGCCCTTATTAATAGAACATACGGAGGTTTCAACTCGCTACTCAGGAATCAATGTTGTAGACTCAATGTTAGCGATTTGTTTTAAAGCTTATACTGCACAGTTTCCCAAAGTTTGATGGGCTCTTTTACTTTTTTTTTTTCTCCAAAAAGTTGGTTATACAGAAAAAAAAAAAAGAATCTGCATGATAATGATAGCAAACAATTATGGAGCATTCTGGATGGCCTCCGTATTCTAACGAGCTTTTCTTTTCTTTCTTTTTTTTTTTTTTAAGATTTTATTTATTTATTCATGGGAGACAAAGAGGGAGGGAGCCAGAGAAATAGAGAGAGAAGCAGGCTCCCTGCAGGGAGCCGGATGTGGGACTTCATCCCAGGACCCCGGGATTACGCCCTGAGCCAAAGGCAGACACTCAACCCCTGAGCCACCCAGGGATCCCTCTACTGAGCTTTCAACATGTATTATCTTCAGTTTTATAGTAGAAAAGAATCTGAGGCAAAAATTAACTTGTCCATACTAAGTACCTATATACTAAGTGGTTCAGTCAGGGTTTACAAGCCCAAGAAACTGACTCCAGAGTTGAGGATTTTATTTTATTTTATTTTATTATTTTTAAATTCATTTATTCATGAGAGACACACACAGAGAGAGAGAGAGAGAGAGAGAGAGAGAGAGAGAGGTAGAGACACAGGCAGAGAGAGAAGCAGGCTCCATGCAGAGTGCCTGACGTGGGACTCTATCTGGGGTCTTCAGGACCACGACCTGGGCCAAAGGCGGCGCTGAACCGCTGAGCCACCCAGGCTGCCCCCAGAATTGAGGATTTTAATTGGATAGGCTTTTCATTTCCGTATCACCTTTATTGTCCTTTATTAGCACCAAATTTATGTTCAAATCCCAACCAAATCAGGCACTGACCTATCAAACTCATAAGTGATGTCATCTTAACCATAATTTCTTTCATTAACAGTTTGTTTTGTAACTGCCATTTTCTTTTCTCAAGCCATATTGTCTGATAGGAATGAAATTGTATAGTTGAGGAAGCATAAATGCATTGTTTAAAGTATTGTTCATCAAATAATTGTTCTCATTAAATAAGTTGGACTGGTATGGGAATATTTCATGGCAATGTTTTCATGAAAAGTTTTTATTATGAATGATACATGCACATGTACTTCTTAAAGTTAAATCTTGTTTTAGGCAGTTAGAGACCGTTTTCATTTTCTTCTGAAAAATAAATATTAGATTAAGATAACTGACTTCATAAGACCAAAAGGGATAATTATTATTATTATTTTTAAAGATTTTATTTATTTATTCATGAGAGACACACAGAGAGAGAGAGAGAGAGAGAGAGAGAGGAACAGACACAGGCAGAAGGAGAAGCAGGCTCCATGCCGGAACCCGACATGGGACTTGATCCTGCGTCTCCAGGATCACACCCTGGGTTGAAGGCGGCACCAAACCGCTGAGCCACCTGGGCTGCCCCAAAAGGGATAATTAAAGGACAGACTGCCAGGACATTTTTATTGATAGTCTTGTAGGTACTCAAATGCTTTAGAGGTTTAGGTTTCTGAATTCTGTTTTTGAGGTAATCTTTTAAGTGTGTAGAGACTAAGAAAACATAGATGAATGCCTTTATTAGCTTGAAAAATTCAATAGTTAATGGAATGTTTCATTTTTATGTTTCTTTACTCTTGGCATCACTCTTATTATCTAAAAATTAAAATTAATGAAGACAACCCCATAGTTAAGACTTTTCAATTTCTAAAATCAGGGTTTAGATTTTTCTTTTCTTCTTTTACTTTCAGAAGTTGGGATATCTAAAGAGGAAGCCTTAGAAACTCTGCAAATTATAAGAAGAGAATGTCTCACAAATAAACCAAGATATGCTGCTACAGCTGAGTCAGGCAAGAAGTGTACAGCACTGGAACTTCTTGAGCAGGAGCATACCCAGAGCTTCATAATTACCTTCTGTTCAGCACTAGATAATATTCTTGGGGGTGGAATACCCTTAACCAAAACAACAGAAATTTGTGGTGTACCGGGTGTTGGAAAAACACAGTTATGGTAAAGTAAAATGTTCCCCTCTTAAGGGTAGGCTTAATAGCATTTTATGTAAGTAATAGAATATGGTGCTCTGGGTCTACATTCAGGAGACCAAAAAAGGCATGTATGTGCTCTTGATTTTTTTGTAGGGTGTATGTGTGCATATGAAACAAAAATCAGTTTACCATTTGTATTATTTCAGTACCCCATCTTGATAAACTGATGTAATTATTTTGGTATCCAAAAATGTTTCTTTTGCAACATTGTAATGTGATTTTAGGGTAAACCAGTAGTCTTCTATTTTATTATATAGTTAATTCCTGGGAATATATTCAAAGATAGATTTAGTATAAGAAGGGATTTTATCTCCTGAGGCCTAAAAACCACTAAGAAGTCCTTAATCATGGCTTTATGGGTAACCCTTCCCCTAATCCACATATCAGTTGGTTTACATATATCTGGAGCAGAAAGTTAGCCATCTCTGTTGCCTAATGGTGTTACCTAGTGGGTGGTGATGTAAAGTTTGAAAAACACTGCCTTAGATGATTATGATAATGAATTTGGTCATTCAACTTTCTCTTGACAGTATGCAGTTGGCAGTAGATGTGCAGATACCAGAATGTTTTGGAGGAGTGGAGGGTGAAGCAGTTTTTATTGATACTGAAGGAAGTTTTATGGTTGATAGAGTTGTAGACCTTGCTACTGCCTGCATTCAACACCTTCACCTTATTGCAGGAAGACATATGGGAGAGGGTAAGTTATCAAGTGATCTGTCTTCTTTTTTTTTCTGTATGATAAAAGTAATTTGCATTTGTACCTCTCAAGCCTCAGCAAGAGACCATTTGGAACATGAAGCTTAAATGACTTGACAGTGTCCTATTGTTAAACTCCCAAATCTTATTTATAGACTTAGAAATGCCACAGCCTAGACTGGCCTTTTATTCTTTTATGGTCCTCGTTCTTTTTTTTTTTTTTTTTTAAGATTTTATCTATTTGAGATAGAACTGAGAGAGAGTGAGCATGAGTGGGGGGAGGGGCAAAGGGAGAGGGAGAAGCAGACTCTTAGCTGAGCAGGGGCCTAGATGTGTGGGGCCTTGATCTCTGGACCCTGGGATCATGACCTGAGCTGAAGGCAGATGCCCAACTGACTGAGCCACCTAGGTGCCCTACCCTCACTTCTTAATGCAGAAGCTCTGAGCCAAAACTTGTGTGTATATTTCACTGTATCACTTCAGATCATCATGCTCTGACCTGCCAGGTGTAAACTGATATTATTAGACAACTTAATGTAAGTAAATGTTGTTTCAATGCATTCAGTGATTCATTGCATTTAGTTTATATTGACCTCCATACTGGTTTTTCAAAGAACCAAAGGTAGCTTTTTTTTTTTTTTAAAGATTTTATGTATTTTTTATGTATTGAGAGAGAGGGAAGGGGCAGAGGGAAAAGCAGAATCCTTGCTGAGCAAGGAGCCCCACTTGGGACTCGATCCCAGGACCCTAATATGACCTGAGCTGAAAGCAGCCACTTAACCATCTGAGCCACCCAGGCACCCCACCAAAGTTAGCTCTGAAAAACCATGTTAGAAATGTTTGGAATATTACTGAATGACCTTATGGGGCTCTGAGTAGAATGTAATGGACTTCATGACTGTGTTAATTGTATTCAAGAGTTTGGGAAGTTTTTTTGATCTTGTCATGTAGAAATATTATTTGATTTTTTTAAGAAAACATATGGGTAATTTTTTTCTTTTTTGGGGGTAATTTTAATTTAAATGATTTAAATACTTAAAGGTATTCAAGTTCTTGTCATTTTAATTACTTAGGAAATTAACTGGTTTCTGGTTTGACTGTTCTAGTTTATTTTTTGGATGTGCAGTCCTCATTCTTTAATAATTTTAAAAAACAATACTTTTCATAGGATTCTTGTATTCCCTTTAAATGAGTGTAATAGCTGGCTATTTTAATTTTCATATGCGTACTAGGTGTCTTTTTTAACTAATGACCAATATGTCTACTGAAAGTCCTTAAAGCTACCCATGACACAATGTGTATTTGTTTTTTTTTTTTTTTTAATTTTTATTTATTTATGATAGAGAGAGAGAGAGAGAGAGAGAGAGAGAGAGGCAGAGACACAGGCAGAGGGAGAAACAGGCTCCATGCACCGGGAGCCTGACGTGGGATTCGATCCCGGGTCTCCAGGATCGCGCCCTGGGCCAAAGGCAGGCGCCAAACCGCTGCGCCACCCAGGGATCCCACACAATGTGTATTTGTAATAGTGCCTTTTTTCTTTAAGATTTTATTTATTTATTCATGAGAGACACAGAAAGAGACAGAGACATAGGGAGAGGGAGAAGCAGGCTCCCTGTGGGGAGTCCAATGCAAGGCTCAATCCCAGGACCCCAGGATCACTACAGGCAGACATTCAACCACTAATCCACCCAGGTGCCCCTGAAATAGTGTCTTAAAATCTTATTGTAGGGGCACCTGGGTGGCTCATTCGGTTAAACATCTGCCTTTGGCTCAGGTCAAGATCCCAGGGTCCTGGGATTAGGCTCCCTTCTCTGTAAGGAGCCTGCTTCTCCCTCCCTCTCCCTCTGCCTACCGCTCCCCTGCTTGCACTTACGCACATGCTGTCTCTCTGTCAAATAAATTATTTAAAAAGAAACCACAACACCTTACTGTAGATATTATAGGTATAGCATTGGGATATAAAGTTTTTAATGATTGCTATGTGATTAAGCTGTTATTTTTTTTTGGTTAGATGTGAACTTTTATATTTGTAAAAGTCAGTGCTTTCTGAAATTTAATTTCATGTGTATTTTTTCAATGTTAAAACAAGTATGAAACAAGTTAAAACAAGTATGAAAAAAAGGTCAAGTATGTTTTAAAGTACAGTAATTTTTAACTGATTTATTTCAGAAATATGTATAAAACCAAACCGTTTGTTTTGTTTTTAAAGATTTTATTTATTTTTTCATGAGAGACACAGAGAGAGAGGCAGAGACACAGGCAGAGGGAAAAGCAGGCTCCATGCAGGTAGCCTGACGTGGGACTTGATCCCGTATCGCCAGGATCAGGCCCTGGGCTGAAGGTGGTGCTAAACCGCTGAGCCACCTGGGCTGCCTCTGTTTTTTTTTTTTTTTTTTTTTTTTAAGATTTATTTATTTGAAAGTGCATAAGCAGGGGGAGGGGCAGAGGGAGAGAATCTCAAGCAGATGTCCTGCTGAGTGCAGAGCTGGATGCAGGACTCAGTCTTACCATCCTGAGATCAAGACCTGAGCTTAACCAACTGAGCCACCCAGGTACCCTCCTAAAACTGCTTTTTATTTTTATTTTTTTAAAGATTTTATTTATTTATTCATGAGAGACACAGAGTGAGAGAGAGAGAGGCAGAGACACAGGCAGAGGGAGAAGCAGGCTCCATGCAGGGAGCCTTACATGGGACTTGATCCCGGTTCTCCAGGATCAGGCCCTGGGCTGAAGGCAGCACTAAACCGCTGAGCCACCCGGGCTGCCCCCTAAAACTGCTTTTTTTAAAAAAATATATAATCTAAGAAGAATTTTATATTGTTTCTACTTAAATATAAAAGTATGCTAAAGAAATAATGGAAAAAAGTTACCAAAAGGGAAAAAGATGCTTTTTTTTATTGTTAACCTAATTTGCATCCTATGAAAAAAAACAAGAAAGGGGAAATTCCATTATGTTACCTCTATTCAATGGAAACCAATAATAGAAATATGAAAAGTCAGGTATTAAACCTCTAATTGTGTATATGTGTATAAAGAATTTCTAGATAGTTTAGTGTTTAAGGAACTAGTGGAAAAGGTGAAAATAAGAGGTCAGGAATTATGCAATGGTAGTTTATAGCAAATTTGTTATAATTTTGTTATCTTTCAATTAAAGTGAAGAGTTGTATTCACAGTGAAGCATTTTATTATTAAAAGGTATTTTCTTCCTATAATATCAATATAATCAAAACAAGTAAAACTAAAGATTGTTTTGTTTATTTTAGAGCACTCAAAAGCTTTGGAGGATTTCACTCTTGAAAATATTCTTTCCCACATTTACTATTTTCGTTGTCGTGACTACACAGAACTATTGGCACAAGTTTATCTCCTGCCAGACTTTCTTTCGGAACATTCAAAGGTATGGCTCAAACTACTGAAATACAGCAAACCTTTGGAATATCTTTGGAGGTGTTTGATTAGCATGAAAAATAAGTAAATTGTATAGTGGCATAAGCCTGTTCAAAAATCTCTTCCTTCCTTGTCCTACAAATTATTTATACTTACACATATTTAACATATATGCATATATATTTTATGCCTAAAGTATGAAATTGAAATAATATAGGTTCTTCCTCCAGTAATAGTGGAATAGCTTCTAACAAACAAATTCTGTAGAAGGTTATATGTGAAAAATAAAACTTCCGTTCTACTGCATCCTAGTACCTCTCCCTAAAGTTGACTACTATTGTTTCTTGTGTGTCTTCTCAAAAAATTTTTTATGCATGTTGCAATATCTGTCTACCCATTTTTTTCTTTTTTTTTTAATTCATGAAAGACAGATGCAAAGACAGGCAGAGGGAGAAGTAGGCTCCCTGGTGGAGAGCCCAATGCGGACTCAATCTGAGGACCCCCAGGATCACACCCTGAGCCAAAGGCAGACACTAAACCACTGAGCCACCCAGGTGCTCCTGTCTACCCATTTTTAATATTTTTAGTGGGATAATACTGTAATATGATTCTGATTTTTTTTTTTTTTTTGCTTGGTGTTTTGCGTATCTTTCTATATCACCACATGTGGATAAACCTTTTTATTCAGCTGCATATTATTTCATTTTAAGAAGGTGTTTTTACTGTTGGTGTGAATGTAAAATGGTACAATTGCCTCAGAAAACAGTATGGCACTCCTCAAAAAATTGAAAATAGAATTACCATATGACCCAGCAATTCCACTTTTGTGTATATTACCAGAAGAATTGAAAGCAGGATTTTGAAGAGATATTTGTAAGCCTGTGTTCATAGCAGCATTATTCGTATTACCTAAAACATGGAAGCAACATTCATTGATGAATGAATAAATAAGCAAAATGTGGTATACACATACAATGTAATATTATTCATACTTAAAAAGGAAAGAAATTCTGACATATGCTACAACTTGGATGAATCTTGAGGACATTATGTTAAGTGAAATAAACCAGTCAAAAAAAGACATGCTGTATGATTCCACTTATATGAGATGTGAAGAGTAGTCAAACTCAGAGACATAAAGTAGAATAGTGGTTATGAGGGCTTGTGGGGAAAGGGGAAAAAGGGCAATTATTGTTTAATGGGAATAGAATTTCATTTTACAAGATGAATGTTCTGTGTATTCTACATTAAAAAAATTGGGGGGAAAACTACCTCAATTTATTTAACCAATCCTCTTATTGGTGGTCTTTTATTTTTTTTATTTATTTATTTATTTTTTATTGGTGGTCTTTTAGATGGTATTATTAACAATGGTTTGAGGATAATCCTTATATCATCTTAGGGTAAATTTTAAGTATGTTTCTGGGTAAATTTTTTTTTTTAAGATTTTATTTATTTGAGAGAGAAAGAAAGAGCATGAGCTGGAGATGGGGTAGAGGGAGAAGGAAAAGTGGGCTCCCCACTGAGTTCAGAGCCTCAGGACGTAAGATCATGACCTTAGATGCTTAACCAGCTGAGCCACCCAGGTGCCCCTGTTTATGGAATAAATTCTAAGTATTAGAATTATGTTAAAGAATATGTACATTTTTTTTAAATATTTTATTTATTCATTCATGAGAGACACAGAGAGAGAGAGAGAGAGAGGCAGAGACACAGGCAAAGGGAGAGGCAGGCTCCATGCAGGGAGCCCAATGTGGGACTCGATCCCAGGACTCCAGGATCACGCCCTGGGCCAAAGACAGGCGCCAAACCGCTGAGCCACCCAGGATCCCCAAATATGGACATTTTTAGTTTTGATAAATATTACACATGACAGAGACTTTTTTTTTTTTTTTTTTTTTTGACAGAGACTCTTTGATCAAACTTTACTCAGCCTCCTCTGAGCCTTTTTGAATTGGCCTCAACCTTCACCCACATCCTGTCTTTGGCCTGACCAGTCCGAATCTCCCACCCTTAAAATCTGATCACCCTTGACATCTCAAGTTCCTTCTTCCCCACTTTCAATGTTATGTCATTGACCTGCCTGTAGCAAGAATTCTGCTAGGTCATGTTAGCAAGAATCCTACCCTTGATGTCTTCTCCTAATAATTTTTCATTCACTGACACCCTGCTTCTTGGGTATAAATCCCCAAGTGTCCTTGTATTTGGGGTTAAGACCAATCTCTTTTCCCTATTGTAAAACCCTTATTGCTATCTTCTTGAATAAAGTCTTCCTTACTATTTTAACGGGTGTCAGAATAACTTTTTTTTTTTTAAAGATTTCATTCATTCATTCATTCATTCATTTAACAGAGAGCACAAGCAGGGAGAGTGGCAGGCAGAGGGAATGGGAGAAGCAGGCTCCCCACTCAGCAAGGAGCCCAGTGTGGGCCTTGATCCCAGGTCCCTGGGATCATGACCTGAGCCAAAGATTAATCAACTAAGCCACCCAGGTGTCCTTTTTTTTTTTTATTTTTTTAAATATGTATAAGAGAGAGTGAGTGTCATGAGTGCAAAGGGACAAAGGGAGAAAGAAAATCTTAAACAGGCTCCACGGCCAGTGCTCAGAACGTAATTCTGCTGTTGTTGGATGAAGTAGTCTATAGATTTATATCTAGTTGATTGATGGTGTTATTGAGTTCATCTCTGTTCTTAATGGTTTTGTATACTGGATCTGTTCATTTTTATTAGCTGCTAAAGACTCCAAATATAGTGAAGTCATCTATTTCTCCTTGCAGTTTTGCCTCATATAGTTAGATGCTCTTTTGTCAGGATATACATGTTAGGAACTATTATGTCTTTTTGGGGAACTGACCTTTTAATCATTATGTAATGTCCCTCTTTATCCCTGATAATTTCCTTAGTCTGACATCTGCTTTCTAAAATAAATATAGCTATTCTTGTTTTCTTTTGGTTAGTGTTACCATGGTATAGCATGGTAGATACTTCTCTAATCATTTACTTTTAGTCTACAGGTATCTGTATATCTAAAGTGGGGTTTTTTTTTTTAAAGATCTTATTTTTTTTCAGATTTTTTTTTTAAATTTATGATAGAGAGAGAGAGAGAGAGAGAGAGAGAGAGAGAGAGGCAGAGACACAGGCAGAGGTAGAAGCAGGCTCCATGCACTGGGAGCCTGACGTGGGACTTGATCCCGGGTCTCCAGGATCGCGCCCTGGGCCAAAGGCAGGCGCTAAACCACTGCGCCACCCAGGGATCCCCTTTTTTTTCAGATCTTATTTTTTTAAAGTAGTCTTAAAGACTTAGACTTAAGTAGACTTAAAGACTACACCTAAAAAAAAAAAAAAAAAAGACTATACCTAAGTAGCTCATTTAGTTGAGTGTCTGATTCTTGATTTTGAATCAGGTCATAATCTCAGGGTTGTGAGATTGAGCCCCATGTCTGGTTCTGTGCTGGGCATGGAGCCTGCTTAAGATTTTCTCTTTCCTGGGATCCCTGGGTGGCTCAGTGGTTTAGCACCTGCCTTCCGCCCAGGGCATGATCCTGGAGTCCTGGGATCGTGTCCCGCATCGGGCTCCCTGCATGGAGCCTGCTTCTCCCTCTGCCTGCTTCTCCCTCTGCCTGTGTCTCTCGTGAATAAATAAATAAAATCCTTAAAAATAGAATAAAATAATAAAATAAAATAAAACTGCATTAAAAAAAAAAGATTCTCTCTTTCCCTCTGACCCTCTCCTGCTTGCACATGTGCTGTCTTTAAAAAAAAACCAAAAAACAAAAAAAAAAACACATTGCCAAATCCAAGATCATGAAAATTTATTTCTAAGAGTTTGTAGGAGAGGAAAAAGTTTTCTTCAACCCTCTTAGGATCCCAGGCTGGGACTGAAAATTAAAATAACAAAGGCAGAATAACAGGAGAAAAGCACACACATTTTACTGCATTTTTATGTGTACATGGGAGCCTTCTATAAGACAATAAAACCCAAAAGGACCAGAACAGGAAACTTTTATGCCTTTTAGCCAAAAACAGTAAATTTGTGAAGAATTGATGAGACAAAGGGGTTTGGGCTAGAGGTGGAAAATTATGAAGTAATTTGGAAGATAAGAATTAGTTTAACAAGGTTTGTTTATATGCCTTCTCAGCCCTAAATTCCCTGTCTCTGGTGATAAGAGTTTCTCATTGTATCCCGATACAGGGAGGGTACCTTTCACCCTGGAGATTTCTCTTCTTTCCAGGAAGAAGAGAGAGAATAAGAGATGAAAGTTGCTTCTCTGCTTCTGTTGTTTTCTGACTTCTACTTAAGATATTCAGTATGCTAAAGGCATCTGGGTGGCTCAGTTGATTAGGCATCCAACTCTTGATTTTGGGTCATGGTCTCAGGGTTGTAGGATGGAGCCCTGTGTCCAGTCCCTTGTCAGGCTCCGTGTTCATTGGGGAATCTGCCTGCTTCTCTCTCTCTTCCTCTGCTCCTTTCCCCATGCAAATAAATAAATAGATTTTTTTTCTCTCTCAAAAAAATAAATATTATTTATTTATTTATTCATGAGAGGCAGAGAGAAAAAGAGTGAGAGAGAGAGAGGCAGAAACACAGGAATAAATATTTTTTAAAAAAGATATTCAGTATGCCAGGGTGCCAGATTTGGAGTAGCATGTCCTGAACTCCACCCAGTTTAATAGCTTTAGTTTTTTTATTTGGGACTTTGATCCATTTTTAGTTAATTTTTTTATACATAGTCTGGAGTAAGTGTCTAACTTCATTTTGTATGCAGACATCTAGTTGTTGCAGCACCATTTGTTGAAAAGACTTTTTTCCCCATTGAACGGGCTTGGCATCCTTGTTGAAAATCAGTTCACCAGGGCAGCCTGGGTGGCTCAGTGGTATAGCGCTGCCTTCAGCCCAGGGTGTGATCCTGGGGTCCCGGGATCGAATCCCATGTCTGGCTCCCTGCATGGAGCCTGCTTCTCCCTCTGCCTGTGTCTCTGCCTCTCTCTCTCTCTCTCTCTCTCTCTCTC